CATATTCAGTGCCTACTTTTTTAACCATTGATTTGAAGTGCTTTAAACGAAAAAGATCCAATACACACTCGGCAGGATGGAGTGGTAATTTTTTGTGATTGTCTTGATTCAGCTTTGAAAACCAAGGCATTGATATTAAGACTAAAGAGAAATTACATCGAGCTGGTGTGATTGTAAAAAAATTTGGGTTTTTGGAGTGATTTTTTTTTTTTTTTTAATGCCATAGAGTTAAGCTTTCAACACACGCTTCATTGAATCCCATCTGAGCCTCCTAGGACAGGGCTGGGAGACCTTTTTTCTATTGAGGGCCACTGACCCACAAAGAAAAAAAACTAATCAAGGGCCATGTACAAAAAGCAACTTAATTTAGGTGCTTCCTTAGAAAACCATAAAGCATTCAATTCACCTGCTTTTAAAATTAAGAACAAGGAACTCTCAGCAAGTACAGCAAATAGGAAAACACCCTTCAGTTTCGCTGTTAAAAAGGTGGCGTGCAGCAAGAAAGAACAATATGGGTAGAGTAAAAAGAGAGTGGAATGCGCACAGTTTTAAGGGGCTAGAAGAGACACACGGAGAAGAAACTGTATATATCCAGGGTCATGGAAGCAGGAGATTGAATCAGGAAGTAGGAGATAAATGATAGTTGTAGATCATAACCTACTGCTCACTGAGCTCTGCTGGATTCACTGGTTAATTGCTATTTTCGGCTCTTCTGTAGCTGGAATCCTGAGTCTTTTCCAGCAGTAACTCGTAATGAAGGATGTATATCACCATCACCTGGAACCCCTTTGGAAAATGTATGTGTCCAGTGCTGTCCCCACAATAGTTGCCTCTCTGTCCCATAGCGATTCAATTGTCCCTGTGCTCAGCTTGCTCAACCTAAATGAAGAAAAAAAAATGGCATCTTTCTTAAAATGAGAATTATTTAGGATCGCCAGGTTTAGAAAGGACATCTCCAGAAAAAAAAGGCATTTCTCATTCAGACAGCATTTTAGAAGCAATCTCAAACACATAAAACAGAATGCCTTTCAAATAACATATATGCCCTGGCTTTCAAAATAAGTCATTTTCAGTGCTTAAAGTAGAAATATTTGTTTAAAAAAAAAATCGAAGGAGTTGCTTGAGTTCTCAGAGATTCTTACCAGAATGTGGAGCTATAATCCTTTTTTAAATTCACCAAGACTGTCCTTCCGCCCTTTCCTCCTTGTCCTTCTCATCAGCACTAACTGGTTATGGCACTGAATCCCCAGTAGCCTAAGTATGTCTTGGGGTTTAATTTGCAAGTGTGTGTTGGACTGCATGTGTCTCAGGGCTTTTGGCAAGAATGTCAAATTACATTTTCTAGTAATGCTTTCTAGAAGCACAGACAGAGTAAGTGGTGCGTTCAGTGCTACATGGCCAAGGAGCACGCTGGAGTGGGAAGTTTGCTGAGGGGAAGACGACTTTGCCAGCAGAAACATTAGCAGGTATCTACCCTGTTGTCATCCTTTACACAAGGGTAAGCCTTTCATCATTAGACAGTCTCTCTGGAAAGGTCTTCTCAGATGAAAGTGCACAGTTTCTTCTTGTTTGCTAGGTATTGCCAAAACAGAGATGTACTGGAGTGTTCAAGTAGAAGCAGATCTCCATAAGGTCCTGCCGAGGGTCCCTAGTGGATAAGGAGGTGGGAGGAGAAACATGGACCGTGCTGGGTCTTTTTATGTGTGCCAATGTAAAGAGGTGTTGCCTACTTTCAGCAGGTAACTAGCAAAACTTTCTTGGCTGCTACCCATTTTTGAAAGGAGTATTTATTCTCAGTGTAAAATTCCTGAGAGTAAGTTTAAACCTCTCAACCTCTAGCACCTTCTTCAGTGGAGAAAGTTTTTCTTGCTTGCTGTCTTTTAGTGTACTGGTTTTTAGGATGTGTGTAGGTGTGTGCACACGTACATGTGTGTTTGCATTGGGGGTGGGGGAAAAACGGATGCTCTTTCTAGAACTTAGAGGCCTATGGGGAGGACTTTAAAAATTTCATGGAAAATGGAATTAAAATATGAGGTTTTGTTGTTGTTGTTGTTGTTGTTTTCTGGTGCAAAAAAAAAAAATTTGAAAGCCATGCAGTTTTTTTCTTAATACACATTTTTCATGAACACTCCCTAGTATTTTTATAGCACTCAGGTGACTTATATGTGTGAACCCTATTAAGATTAGGTGACATAAATTATTTTTCAAACTCATGAATTGTTTTGCCTTGGAAATTCAGTGCATACCACAGCCAGATCTCTGCAGGGGCTTGAAAAACAGCCTGCCCTCTAATGAATTTTAGTCTGTGACAATCTTAAAAGGTATCTGCTCTCTTATTGTAAAGTAATTCAATTAAATAGTGCTGTGTGTGTTTGGTTCTTATTGTGAGAATTTGAATTAATTTTCTGTGTGGAGTGTGGGATGTATATTATTCAGTACAGCTACAACACTGGGGTCTTCATAGTGCTTTATGTTAAAACCATAAAGGGAGATACCCTCAACCCTGAAATAGAAGAGAGCTTCATATCTTTTCATGAATTATGCATCCTGGTGCCAAAGGCCAGCAGTGAATTTGTTAAGCCACTGAGCAGGAGGTTTTGTTTTTGGTTGTAGCAAAGGTGTTTCCACAAATCTGAGCCTTAGCAACCCCATTTTCAGTAATGAGATCTGAGATATTCCACAACTTCACAGTTCTGAATCCTATTACATGATCTTTAAAAAGAAAAATGTTTTCTTTCTTTTTTCCTAGTAATAGAATTATCTGTTGACCAAGGTTTTCAGAAACGGCAAAAGAAACTTCGAGCTGTTTCTAGATAAGAAAGTTATTTGAAAATTCTTTCTCTGTCCCCACTTTGTACCTAGCCCTTTAATGCTACGTAATACTCCCCCTTTTCTTTCTGGCAATAGTGCTCGCCCTACTTTGTAATTGCTAGGAAGGAGGAATGATCAGGAGCATAGGTGATTATGTAGTTGTTTGCATATGCGTGGTTGATAACTGTTAGTCAAAGAAGTCACCAGCTCGATTTTCTCTGAAATACCCGCCCCCCATCCCAAGTCCAAAGCTACTTTGATATCTATGTTAGGTGAAGGCCTGTTTTTTGTAAGTGCACATAGCTAAGATGTAGCAGTGATCAACTCATGCCTGTTTCCCTTCCCGTGATTGGGGCTAGAAAGATGTGCTTTTCCTTCTCCAGCTCCTGATTAGACATGCTTACCATTGACAGGCTCACATGTCTTCAGATACTGATCCCTGGGTTCCTGAGATCCATTTGTCTTACATAGAACATGGATGGCCATGTGGGAGTCCAGTGCCCTTAACCACACCACCTGCTGGTCCTTGGAGTTTAGTTTTAAGTGACACACTACATCTCTTTGCCTTAGTAGGGGAGAGGCATTTTGTGTCCTGAAGGCACGATTTCTGTTATGTGGCAGAGGAACAAAGGGGGAACTCCACAGCTAATAGAACCCATCCCAACCCTCACCTCCAAACTGGAAGCAGAGAGCAGTTTATGTAAAGGAGGGAAACACTTCATGGCTTGCTGTGGAGTAAGGTCTCTTTGACATTGCCCTTGGCTCTGAGGACTACACTGCTACATAAAGATTACACTTATCAGTCCAGCAGGTGGTATAGTGTTTGGGGTGCTGGGCTCCTACATGGCTGACTGCGGTTCGAGTCCCAGATCTGGCGGCTTGCTTTCTCACTTTCCCTCTCTTACAGGTGAGCACTCATGCCTTATAGCAAATTAAAATAATAAGTGAATAAAATTAAAAGATTACATTTATTGGAAGCTATTAGTGTGTACTAGGACAAGTGGCTACATAGCATAGAATCAGAGATAGATACAGTCTTGGACATCATATTGAAGATAACGGACAGAATCCTACTATTGACAGTTTCTCATCACTTCTTTGTGATTCATCATAGACTCAGCTTATCCAGCATGAACTCCCATAGTTTCCTCTTTGCTGACACCCCCTTGAAATGCACCTGTCCCTTTTCTCTCCCAGAGTGTACATTTTGCATGTATGTTTGCTCAGTTTTTGGTTGTTGGCGCATGTTTTGGTAAAATCATTCTTTATTAGAGATAGTCATTTTTAAAGGACAAACTCCCATATTTGGAAAAGATATGTCTTAGTTCTGTGACTTGTATAGTATTTAGCCCGGAGTCTTAGGGACTTTATAAAAGTAACTTGAGGGACCAGCAGATAGCTTAATGGTTAACCCGCTGGACTCCCATGTA